ATGTCAATGAGAGAGAAACATCGACCGGCTGCCTCTTGCACACTCCCTACCAGGGATGTGCCCGCAACCGAGGAACATGCCCTTGACCGGAATCGAACCTGGGACCCTTCAGTCCGCAGACCGACGCTCTACCACTGAGCCAAACCAGTTTCGGCAACATTACCAACTTTTTTAGTAGCTTGCACAGCTTTCTTATAAAAATGTTGCATTAGCCCTAGCTGGCTTGGCTCAGGGGTTAGAGCATTGGCCTGCAGGTCCCGGGTTTGATTCTGGTCAGAGGCACATGCCCGGGTTGTGGGCTTGATCCCGTAGGGGTGTGCAGGAGGCAGCCAATCAATGATTGTCTCTCACCATTGATGTTTCTATCTCTCTCTCCCTTTTTCTTTCTCTCTGAAATCAATAAAAATATATTTTAAAAAATAAAAGGTCAATATTTTTTAAAATGTTGCATTAAATAAAGCCACTTTTTAACATTTTATTTACAAATCTGTTTTGTAGGTCATTAACAGCAAATACTTAAGTAGAGACATGATGTCATAAAATACTTGGAAAAGAGAATAGTAGCTCAAGTGGTTATTGACATGAAATGTTTACTTGGGAAAATTCTTGGCATTTTTGCCCCACATCAGCATAATGAGAGTTTGTATGAGGCCCAGCATTAATGCATCTGTTGAGGATTAATGTCCTTGTAGAGCACTTGTTAGTGAATATATTATGAATAGTATATAAATATAGTAATTAAAAAGCTGCACACTAAACACTCTGTGGATTGGCATAAACATCCCTTCCATCCCCTTGATGGCTTGCATTCAGGTGAGTAGTGCATTGTTCATCTTGGCCTCTTAGCATTCTTCATCAAGAACAGAAAGAAGGAAGGCTGTCTCAAAGCGTTGTTTCCTTCTCAGGATCTTGCGGATCAGATGGGCAGATACACTGGTGGTTTTCAGGACCGGGATATTTTTTAACAGCTCAGAAAAAAATGGCACATAGTACATATAACAACAACAGCAATATCCCACTGTTCCTTTTGAAATTTTTATTATTAAAGTTATTTTCAGACAATACCATCGTTGTGCTGAGTAAAATGTATTCAGTGTGATCAGTGGTTCCTCAAAGCTTGTGTGTTATAAAAGAAGTGAAATGATGAATAATATAAATATATATTAGTGCCAAACCATAGACCCGTGAATTTTCAAAGAAGCGAGTCTTCGTTATCTTATTACTATCTATTGCCCAGTGGGTTGGACCTGAGCAGGCTGCTGTGGGGAAGCAGCATCTGGGAAAAGAGGCATCCTGCTGTTAGAGTAATGATGTCCTGTCCTTCACGCAGAAGGATAAGGAGGAGGCAGACAGATGTAAAGTGGGCAATTTCCATTTCTTTTTCTTTTCTTTTTTTTTCCTTTGGCAATTTCCATTTCTTTGTATGCTCCAAATGTTCGCACCTACCTGTTTCCTCATTGAAAAGGCTTTTTTCCCTTCATAATTTCGTTATTTCTGAATCCTCTTACTTAACACACAATATTTATTTATGAGATCATAAAGATTTTCTTCTGTGCAAGAAAGGAAAGGAAATGTAGTTGACTGTGATCTGCAGCTTGGCTTTGAGTCAGTGAGGGTGGGAAAGGAAGGAACAGAAAGACTATTTCTGTCCTCATTATTTAATTGGTCTCTTTCTTAGTTGTGTGAACTCTTCACAGATGCGTTGGATTATTGATTAATCCCATATACTGTATATTGACTGCTTGTTATATATCCTTGCCCTGGGGATACAAAGATGATGTTAGTAGGCATCAGTTGGCTTTGGAACCTTCTCCTGGCAGAATTCAGTGATGATAAGGTGCTTATCTAGAATTCTAAAATGAATGCTGCCCTCTTCCAAAGATGGCCTGGAAATGTTCATGTTAACAGGATAGACAAACTGGATCAGCCTCAAAGTTTCGGAGGTCGCAAAGGCTGTCCAGGGAACGTAGAATCTACTTTCAAGGCGTTTTCCATTTCGTTAGATTTTTCTAATGAACCTTGCAGCTTTGAATATGATTGGAGTGCTTTCCAATACCTCCACCCCACTTCTGAATTTACTGAGACTGGAGTTTGAAGAGTGGGCAGGAAACTGAAGTGGGAAGACAGTGCCACTGTCTTAAGAGGCATCACACTAGGAAATCTCAGAGGCAGGTGCCTCTGCCAGCTCCATTCTCCCCTTCTTGCCTTTATGTTCAAACTAGAGGCCCAGTGCATGAAATTTGTGCATGGGCAGGGTCCCTAGTGGCTGCTGGCTGCCAGCTGCCGGCCGGGGCCTCCCTGACCCTGGTTACCTGCTGCTACTGCCGGTGGGGGTGTGTGTGGGTAGTTGGCTGGCCAGCTGCTTTCCTCTACCTCCTGGTAGAACTTCTGTTGAGGGGACAATTTGCATATTAGGCTTTTATTATATAGGATGTCTGACTTTATTTTCATTAGGTTAGTCATGCTAGGAGGGATCTTTGAATTGAAGCATCTTAAGAAGCCTTATAAGATGGTGGGTAGTGGTTTCATTTAATGAAACTATATGCAAACCTTTGGGAAGATTATCATCCAAAACTTAAGATCATTTTCAGGAGGAAGTTCTTCTGAATCTTTTGATACTATTAAGTTCTACTATGAGTGTGCTTATTTCACAAATACCCCTTTCCACCTTGATATGTACTAGTGGATACAGTATTTATTTTCATTAAAATGGGGTTGAACTACTTTAATTTTGCCAGAAACCAAGATTTTCAAGATCTGTGCCTCCAAACCATTTACATGTCAACTCATTTCAGCAAAGTCTTGCCAGCTATTATTGACAATATTGACATCATTTGGTATATTAATTCCAACATCCCAGTGCTGTTGCCTCCACACTTACTATAGCCACATTTGTCTTTATTCCTCTAACTCCAATATCCTAACATCAGAAGGTTGTGGACTCCACTTCCTCTTCAGGGCCAGCCCTTCCCACCGCCTTTGGGATCTTATTCCATCCTGACCTCCTTCCTCTTGTACTCTCAACCTTTCTCTCCCTACCGATTCCTTCAGCTTCTCAATGTGGACTTCCATCAGCACGTATCTCTCCCGGAAACCATCAGTTCTCCCTCTACTCTTCCGCTGGCTCTGAGATCTCTGCCTCCACCCTTCCACTGAAACCTCCCTCGGTCAAGGTGGCCAGTGAATGCTAGACTGTCAAGTCCAAAGATATATTTTTCATCTCTCCTCTCTGTTCATCTCATTGTATTCCAATGTACTTCTCTACCTTTCTCCCTTAGTATTCTCCTCAAGACTTCCTCTGCCCATTCTGTCATTGTCCACGTTCTCTAGGGTCCTGCCTTTAGCACTGATCCTCCCATCGTCTCCTTCTATCCAAGTTCCTTCAGTGGCATCACCCACTGACATAATTTCTGCTACTTTCTGTGGAATGATCACTTATATGCCTTTATGTTTTGCTTAGGTTTCTTTTCCAAGCTTTATACTCAAGGACATCTGGGCATCCCTACCTGAATCTTCTACACCTCAATTTCTAATGCCCCAAACGGAACCCCTTATCTTCCAGATTAAACTTGTTCATTCTCCTGCATTCTCTACCTCAGTTGTCACTTCTTTCCACCCCCGGATAGCCGTTTTTCCAAGTTGTTTTTTGCTTCGGCATCTGGATGTTTCCCCGGTCCTAATTCTTCCTCTCCTTTTCCCTTTCCTACTTACTTCCACTTCCCTACTCCCCACCCTGCCTCTCCCGTCTAACAATTAAACTGGCCTACTTGGTCTCCCCGCCTCCATTCTGCCCCCTCTGGATCCATCCAGACCAGGAAGGCATCTGAAACCCAGACCTAACCCATCAGTGGGTGTCCGTAACAGGATAAAGTCAGATTCCTGGTTGTGTGGGTGAGGTTATGACCTGGCTTTAGGCTTCTTTCTTGGCTTCACTCCTCACACGGAATTACACCATGCAGTTTCTTACCTGTTTTTTTTCCATTGTCTTGTGCCCCATAACCAGCTTGGTGAAGTCCTGCCCAGCCTGAGGACATGCCAGGCATCTCTTTTTGTTGGAAGCCTTCCCTGACCTCTCCATTTCTGGGCTGGGTGCCCTGCTTGGCGAGAATCTCAGTCACTGCCCTCATCCCACTGTCCTACCCAGGTGCATTGTGTGTGTCTCTAGGCCCCGCTAGACTTCACTTTCCTTAATGACAGAGCCTGTGTCTTATTCCTCCTTGTAGCTCCAGTGTCTACCACAGTGCCTAGCATGTAGGAGGGATGCAACATGCAATTTTTAAAGGAAAAATTAATAATGACAGTAAATCAGTTTCATGTTTACAAAAATGGGCAAAAGCAACCGATGCGTGAAGGGAGCTCTGGGGTGGCGATACTGTTCTGGGTTTGACCCGGTGTGTTCAGTTCAGGAAAACCCATTGTGCCGTCCACTTGTGGTATGTGTACTTTCCTGTATCAGTGTTAAGAGTCCAATAAAAAAGTTTTTCTAAGAATCAGTTTGACCGCTTATCTGCCCAGTACAGAAAATTTCCTTTTTCCCTTTCAAGCTCTTAGAGTTTTCACAGGATATTAGTTCAGAGGTAACAGCAAAGAACCGGGCCACTGCTGTTCCTTTTCGTTAAGTGAGAGTGAGATGAAAAGGCGTAGGTAACACGCGTGGGATTGCCCGGTCCTCCGGAGAGGCCAGCCCTGCTGGGTGGACATGCGGTGGCCTGCCCTCCTGTCATCCTTATGGCAGGGGCCACATACTAATCGTCAGCGAGCTCCGTGCCTGCCTGCAGGGACAGGGAGGCCGCCTCGGATGTGACCATGAATAATTCATAAATGTAGTTATCTGGAAATTTGTGGTCATCATTAGCATTTTAATGAAAAAAATGCAGTCATCATTCTCAATCTCTGTTTTGTTTCTACTTTTTTTTCTCCTCCCCCACCACAGCGAACCCTCTCAGTCTTCCCAAGTGGTGGAGACTCCCGAGGCCCCTGCAATGTGCTGACTGGTCGCTATGGGCAGACGGTACCCGGAGGCTCACTGTCATCCAGGCAGCTCATGTATGTATGGGCCCCTTTCTCTCTCTCTTTCTCTTTCTCTCTCTCTCTGTCTCTAATTTTCATCGTAGAATATGACAGGGTGCTGAACTGCTAAAGGTTTATATTTAATTGACAGTATTTAGGAATGCAAGAGAGTGAATCGCTGTAGGGTAAATGTTTAATATTGAATGATGAGAAATTAGAATTTTTTATAATATATTGGCCCTATAACACCAGGAGTGTATATCAGCAATCTTTTTTTTCCAGTCCTATAGAGGTTGTGTGTGTGTGTGTGTGTGTGTGTGTGTGTGTTCTGTTTTGTTTGTTTGTGTGTGTGTGTTTTTGTTGTTGTTGTTAGCTTTCTTTTTTCATCACAGTAGATAACATTTGGACCAATAGCAATGCCAAAAATTAAAAACGTGTCTCAGTGACTCTTTGAATTCCTTGAAATAAAAATAAAAAAATTCATGGATTCAGAAGAGAGGTCCTCTGGGGATGTCATTGTGGAACACGTGTCAGGGAGAGAGGGCCCAATTTTTAATTTGTCAACATTCTCCAAAGAGGAAACTCCCGGTTGCCTCAGTGATGACTTTCAGTGCCTCACAGCACTTAGGTTTTTTCCGATCGTCATCTTTGGGGAATGGCTACAATTGTGCCCCTTTCCTGTTTGTCACTACCCCTGATTCACTTAGGAGAAAAATGATTATTGCCCATCTAATGCTCCTTCTTATTTCTCTCAAGGAGAGTTTGTCTCAAACATATTTTTTGTTCCCTTTAATCTTTCCACTACCTGTTTAGATATTTATTTGTTTTTGTTGCTTCCCTTTGAATTTCTGGAATTTTAGCTTCAAATCAGGGTTGTGTTTGGGTGTGTAATTCCCCAGAGTGCCTTTGCTTCCTTGGCCCGTGCACTGTTATGCTTGTCCATATCCACTTGAAGTCCCTTTTCCTTGTACAGTTCACTTTTTTCTTCATAGGAAAGTTAGAACCCCCCCCTCAAAGCCATACCCAGACAACTGCTTCTAGCATCACCCTAACAGCCAGATCATTGGGAGCAGCAGTGGAGGGAGAACTGACAACAGGAAGAGGATTCAGACCAAGCACCAGGGTCAAAGCCACAGGAGTGGGATAGACAGCTTTTCACCTGTACCTTAGCATTCTCCAAGGCCATTACTGAATTACCGTAAAATGAACAGTTTTCATAGTGAACATCGTCACAAAAAGTTCACCCTGTATACTGAGGTCCAGAGGTTGGCCAACTATGGTTCATGGCCAAATTCAGCCAGGCCCATTTTTTTTTGTAGGAACCAACAATGGTTTCTGTGGTTTTAAATGGTTACATTTCATATGTATTTATATAAAGAGCCAGGGTGATAACATCCAAAATGATTGAAGGCTCAACCGAACACCAGGTTGCACACATAGGCACGCGGGCTGAACGGCTGACCTCTCTGAGAGGCAGGGAGGGGAAAGAGGTGAGGCTGATCAGCGGAGGCAGCCAAGCCTCTCTCTCTCCCAGAGGTTAGCAGTTCAGCCCACTTGTCAGCAGCCTGAGGTGGCTGCTGATCAGCCCTGACTCTATGATCAGGCCTGAAGATAGGACCAGAGATGCTGACCGGCATAGAAACCGACCAATCAGAACCAAGTCTGGGTGAATTGTGAGGAGCTAATGGCTGCCTAGGAGGCAGAGCTTTTGACACTGGCTGGCATAGAAACTGACCAATCAGAACCTAATCTGGGTGAGCTGTGAAGGCAGAACCTAAGGTGGGGGCTGAGGAGGGGTTTTAAAGGCAACAGCTGTTTGGTGTAAGGTGTAAGAGAGTGGTTTAATTTTTTTTAAAGACTGGTTTGACGGTATAATGCATATGGCTGGCGATCAGTCCATATATAGGGATTATGTGTTTTTGTCTGCCAAGAGCATCTCCTCCAGCTGAAAAAGGCCCCCCACCTCATTTAAGCAATCCTATCCTATATAATCTATCTGTACTAATAAAAAGGTAATATGCTAATTAGATCAGGTCAGCTGGCCATCTTCTGGAAGGATGTCCAGCTTCCTTCTAGAACAAAGCCATGATGGTGGAGTCTGAGGCACAGGGAGTTAGGGGTGAGATCAGGCCATCAGGAGAGGGCAATTAGGGGCGATCAGGCAGGCAGGCAGAGGTAGTTAGGGGCAGTCAGGTAGGCAAAGAGGTTAGGGGCGATCAGGTAAGCAGGGGGGCGAGGTAGGGGAGATCAGGCCAGCAGGCAGAGGGGTTATGGGTAAGCAGGCAGGCAGGTGAGTGTTTAGGAGCCAGTCGTCCCAGATTGTGAGAGGGATGTTCGACTGCTGGCTTAGGCCCCTCCCCCTGGTGGGAATGACCAGTTTCTGTGACACACTGACCACCAGGGGGCAGACGCTCAGTGCAGGAGCTGCTCCCTCGTGGTCAGGCGCTCCCACAGCGGGAATGCCGCTCAGCCCATGTAACGTTCCTTCTTATCTCCATTGTAGAATATGCCAGGGTGCTGAACTGGTGAAGGTTTATGTTTAACTGACAGTATTTAGAAGCCTGGCTCTCCAGCCAGAGTCTCTCCTGCCTCCGTGGCAGCACTACTGGGTGGTGGCAGCAGGTGCGGTGGGACCGGGATGAGCAGCAACGGAGCTGTGCCCAGCCCCAGCTGGGGTTCCTCCAAGCCACCTGCAGCTTTGGCACTGCTACATCCCTCGGGCCGAAACCGGCAGTCTGACATCCCCAAAGGGAGCCCCAAGGGTCCCAGATTATGAGGGCACAGGCCAGGCTGAGGGACCCCGCCCATGCACGAATCTGTGCACCATGCCTCTAGTGGTTACATAAGTCCCTACGTAATCTCTATTTTGCTTCTGTCCCTAAGAACCTAATGTGCCTACCCTCTGTCCTTTAAAAAAAATGTTGTCTGTCCCTGATGTAGAAGAAAGTTGGAAACCAGGTGCTATCATTGAACCCTATGAAGGTGTTATTATTCAGCCTACTAAAATGCTTATTTCATAGGGTTGGATCTAATGTATATCAAGGAAATTGTTCTTTCAAATGGTTAAAATTCTGGAGTTTGTTCTCTTAGGAAGTTAAATTTACATAGGAATTCACCAATGTAAACGGGCTCCTTTTCACCGTCCTGGGGAATGATTCCCTGCACACGCTCCCTGCCCCCATCCCATCCCCTGGGAGTTTTCCAAGGGGCTCCGAGCTGCGAAGGCTTTGCTGTCAGGTAGCTGAAAGGAAGCTCTTCTTTTTACACATATTCCTTTTTACCCAGAGTTCTCTAGGATAGAACTGTCTTCTTATCTTACCTTCCCGGGTGCAGGGACTTGCTGGCATCCTCAGAGGCCTCTGCTGGACATGTCACCGGTGCTTTCTGCTGGTGGGAAGGAGGGCAAGTGGCTGCCTTTCCCGTGGGGCACACGCTGGTCCCTTGGCCTGCAGTGTGTCTGCGTGACACGTTGCTTGAAACTTCCTTCCCTGCAGCTGGAACGTGGTTCTCACCCTTGTGTGCGTTCCGTCCCTCCATTCCAATATGGTTGATCCCTTAGTCCCATGGTCGGCAAACTAATTATTATACTAGTCAGCAGAGCCAAATATCAATAGGACAACGATTGAAATTTCTTTTTAGAGCGACAATTTTTAAATTTCAACTTCTTCTGAAGCCACTTCTTCAACATAGACTCGCCCAGGCCGTGGTATTTTGTGGAAGAGCCACACTCAAGGGGCCAAAGAGCCGCATGTGGATCGCGAGCCGCAGTTTGCCGACCACGGCCTTAGTCTGATGCATTAAGACTGCCATTTATTTTATGTGGTTTCTTTTCGGCTCTCACCGCTCCCCGGTGTACCTCCTCCCTTCTCCGGATTGTGAGATGAAATTTGCTTGTGGAAGCCTCCCGCTGACCTTCTTTGGTGGCCATTCTTGGTGGAAACATGAACCTCAGCCGCTCTGTCTCCTGTCATCCAGGACAAGAAATCTAAGGTGACATGGTGCCTCCGGGCCAGGCCTGGGGCTGAACAGGGCCACATTGTTCCCCGGGAAAGGAAACCATTTCGGGGGGAAATAATTCTCTGGAGTTTATAGTTTTGTTACTAAGTGTGGACAGGAGCTGCTGTGCTCCGAGTTGTTTTTGAGGCTCACATGGCAACTTGAAGTTTCGACTTCCTCTCCTTCTGTTCTGGGATCCCGGCTTTGCCTTTCAAGGACAGGATGCTGCTTTGGGGGCAGGGTGCTGTTCTCTCGTGAGTGTGGACTGGCATCCACTGAGCGCCCACAATAAGAAGCCAGAAGCCAGAGCCTGGCCTCCCCTGACTTTCCAGCAGCTATTCGTGCTTGTGTTCCGACTAGAGTTCATTGGCCCTGGGAATCAATAAGCAGGTGCATCCTTAATTATTTTTACCTGCACCTCTGGTTCCTGCGCCCTGACGGCAGCCGTCGCTCAAACACTGGCATCAAGATCTGAACTGTTGCCAAAACCAGTTTGGCTCAGTGGATAGAGCTTCAGTCTGCGGACTGAAAGGTCCCAGGTTCGATTCGGTCAAGGGCATGTACCTTGGTTGCGGGCACATCCCCAGTGGGGGGTGTGCAGGAAGCAGCTGGTCGATGTTTCTCTCTCATCGATGTTTCTAACTCTCTATCCCTCTCTCTTCCTCTCTGTGAAGAGTCCATAATATATGTGTGTGTGTGTGTGTGTGTGTGTGTGTGTGTGTGTGTATATATATATATATATATATATTTTTTTTTTAATTGTGATTGCTGTGGTTAGTGGAGATGCCTGAGGCTAGCCCACGGGGGCGTTCCTGCCGAGACACACCTTTGCCTCCGGGTCGGTGTGCCGTTGCTCCATCTTCAGACCCCCGCTGGAACCCTGCTCCGGCTTCCGGGTGCAGCAGAGTGGCCCCCTCTCCTGTAAGCCCCGCTGGTTTCCCCTCGCCGGCTCTGACGGCTCCCACCTGAAGCCTGTGTCCCCAGCTGCTCTTTATGGCCAAAACCGGTGTGGCTCAGTGGATAGAGTGTCGGCCTGCAGA